CCATGTTGAAGCATGTGCCAGAATTTAATTCCTCTTCAAAACTGAATAATATTGCATTGTGTGTGTATGTGTGTAGCGTGAGAGCACATTTTGTTTATTCATTTACCCATCAGTGGACATTTAGATTGTTTGCACCTTTTGGATATTTAAAGAATGTTGCTATGAACATTGATGTGTAAATAGCTATTTGAGTTCCTGCTTGCAGTTCTTTTGTATATATATCAAGAATTTAAATTGCTGGATCAAATGGTAATTCTGCTTAAGTTTTTGAGAAACCACCATACTATCTTCCATAGTGGTTGTACCATTTTACACCCCAATTTCTCTACATTCTCGTCAACACTTGCTTTCTGTTGTTTGTTTGTTTTTATATATATCTAGCCATCCTAATGGATGTGAAGTGGTATCTCATTGTGGTTTTGATTTGCATTTCCCTAATCATTATTAAAATTGAGTGTCTTTTCATGTGCTTCTTGGTCATTTGCCTATCTTCTTTGGACAATGTCTATTCAAGCCTTTTGCCCATTTTTTAATTGGGTTGTTTGGGTTTTTTGTTATTGAGTTCTAGGAGTTCTTTCTATATTCTGGATATTAATTCCTCTTCAGATATGTGATTTGCAAATATTTTCTCCCATTCTGTGAGTTGCCTTTTTACTATGTTGACAGTGTCCCTTGATGCACAAAACTTTAATTTTTATGCATCCTACTTCTCTATTCTTTTGTTGCCTGTCCTTTTTTTAATTTTTTAAATTGATTTCAGAGCAAAAGGGGGAGAGAGAGAGAGAGAGAGAGAGAGAGAGAGAAAGAGAGAAACATCAATGATGATAGAGAATCATTGATCAGCTGCCTCCTGCATACTTCCTACTGAGGATCAAACCGGCAACCCCAGCATGTGCCCTGACTGGGAATCAAACTGTGAACTCCTGGTTCATAGATGATGCCCAACCACTGAGCCAAACTGGCTGACCTGTTGCCTGCCCTTGTGATGTCATATCTAGGAAATCATTGCCAAATGCAATGTCATGAAGCTTTTCTCCTATGTTTTCATACATAGTTTTAGCTCTTACATTTAAGTCTTTGATCCATTTTAAGTTAATATTTGTATGGTGTTCGATAAAGGTATTTGGCCATTTTGTATTTCACATATTTCTATGAATCAAGATTATGGAGAAGATGCAGCTTGTTTTTCCAAGAACTGTGAAACTACTCCCAGTTTGTTTCCTACTGGCCTTGTTTATCTCTAGTACATCTTGTAAAAATTGCCCTTCAGGCTCCTTGCCCATCCTCAGCTGAGATTTAGCTCCTTTCTCTCCCCAGTATGGCTTGTTGGTAAGGACCTGTCCTTAGCTGGAGAATCATTTGATATGCTTCTCCTCCCACTAGTGGCCTACACCCTGATTTTCATTCTCCTAGGAGGATAGCTGAGTCACCAACCTGTGTTTCATAAATGTGACCCTTTTTCTGTACTAAATAAATGTAGATGGAAAGTATTTAAGAGAAACTTTTGACCCCAGGCTAAGTCTTGGGTTTGGATGCTTTGAGGACATCTTGTTTTGATGATGCCTCAACCTTTTGCAGCAAGGATTCAGGATCTGGAGAAGGGGCTGCACACAAACGGATACACTAGATAAGAAATATAAATTTAGAAATTATTGGGGGAGCCAGAAGGAGACCTACTCTCTAGTGGAGAGGCTCTCTGAATCTCTGGACTGATAGCTTTTTATTTACTAGAATATACATTTTCCCTTTAGCAAAGCAAACAGACATCAATGGTGAGGTTTGGTAAACAATAAAGGATTATCAGCCAGCAGCAGGGTAATACAATGCTGATTCTCAGCCCTTGCTGAATATCAAAGTCCATCAGCCTTCTGAGGGACTTCTCGCATTTATATGTTAACTACTTGTTGGTCTTAGCCTCCAGCAGATGATGCAATGCTCCCTTTATAGAACTATGTTGAAATAAAAGAGCTCTTCAAGGGGTTCTCCTCCCTACCTGGCCTACCCTAAACTCTTATATACTCCTCCCTCTCCTTTATTCTTATTTTTCAAATTAGGAAAAGTATTTTATTATTATTAGCTAGACCATATTAGAAATGAGTCCACACTTAAGAGGTCTGTCATGAAATCTTCACAGGTTCTTAACCTAAGGTCCAAAAATAGGCTTTAGAGAAGTATTGTATACTGTGAAATTGTGTTTAAAATTATTTGTATGTCCTTTTTTTTTTTTTTTTTTCTTGAAGAGGGTCCATCTTTCTTAAAATTCTCAACCAGTCTTTGACACTCAGGCTGCCTTGAATACTATCTCATACATTCCTTGCCCCAAAAGCCCTTAGATCTTTGAAAATACCCTTTGAGGATCTTGAGCTCCTTTTAGGCTATTCACTATTTGTTTTGATTTACAAATGGTATAACATATTGATTTATATCACTTCTAATTTCCTTATGGGCAAGAGAAGGCTTCATAGCAGAACTTTACAGAAGAGTCTCTAGAGCCCTGAATACCTAGAATACTTAGTGGCAATTTAAGATTCAAGTCAAAGCCTTCTCTGAGTATCTGGATCCTTAAGCTTTCAGTCACATTCATGACCAATTTTATTCCTTTGAAATATCCCATTGGAAAGCAAGTAAATGATTGGCCTACTCTTGCTTTCTTCAGCCTTCATTCAGGGTTAGTATTTTAGCTTTTAGTATCTGTTGTGTGCTTCAGATTGTGCTAGGCATTTGAGGGATACTGAAGTATGATAAAGGGCCTTTGTTCTCAAAGGATGGAATAAGTGCAAGAGATGGCTTAAGGCAACTTATTGTCAGTAGCCGACCGGTCCTAGTAGTAAGATCTGTGAGTTCAGGTTAGAGAAATATCTCTGCAAGTTGTGGTGGTCAGGAAAGGCCATATAGAGGAGAGAAGATTTGAGTTGGGTCTTGAAAGAAGAGGAATAGGTATTGGATAAATAGAGAGGCATAGATTATAAAATGTACTCAAAGTCAGGGACCTAAAAAGGACAGAAAGAACGAAGAGTCTGAGAGTTTCTGTAAGTCTTACCCTTAGGTCCCAGGGTACCCAGAGGCTGGGTGATTTAGGAATACAATTCAGTCATTTAAAGTATCACAGCTTCTGTAAGCCCTAATGCACTGACTCTCATCCCTGTCCTAATTGCACTGCCTTTCATTCAATTTACAGGCGTTCATCAAGGGCCTAGTATGAGCCAGCCTCAATGCTAGGCATGTGATAAGACCTAATGGGCAAGCCTATCTCTTTTTTATTTTAATTTTTATTAAAAATCACATAAAATTTACCATATTAACTATTTTTAAGTGTATAGTATAGTAGTGTTAATATAAGCACATTGTTGTGCAGTTTCTGTCTAGAACTTTTTAAAAATATATATGTTGATTTCAGAGAGGAAGGGGATGGGAGAGAGAGAGAGAAACATCAATGATGAGAGAGAATCATTGATCGTCTGCCTCCTGCACACCCACTACTGGGATCAAGCCCACAACCTGGGCATGTGCCCTTGACCGGAATTGAACCTAGGACCCCTCAGTCCACAGACCAATGCTCTGTCCACTGAGCCAAACCAGCGAGGGCTGTCTAGAACCTTTCCATCTCACAAAACTGCAACTCTATTCATTGAACAACTCCTCCCCCTACTCCCCATCTCTCACCTTTGGCAACCACCGTTCTACTTTCTGTTTCTAAGAGTAGTTAAATCTATCTTGAAGCTGGTGTTCCTTTCAACCAAGTGGCCTTCTAAAAATTTCTCTACATACATACTTAGGAATTTTCTGGGATGATCAGAAGGTAGTCTGCAGATACCCCATATGTCAAGGACCATAAGATACTGTACCCAGATTCCTAAGTTTTCTATATTAGGAATTTTATGGAGTTTCACCTCCCATTATCTCTTTAAGTCTCCACTTTCACTAGAGCTTTGAATATTAGATTCAGAGGAGGCCTGTATAATGTTGTACATTACAAAAGGTATCTTCAAAAGTATTATGACAAAGCAGAGTATCATTCATTTTGGGGAGTATGTTAAAGTAAATTAGGGAAATAGACAAAAAATGCTTCCCAGCTGAATGAGTGAAGGTTGCATTGGAAGCTAAGTATTGTTTCCATCTATTAGTTGTCTTTCTAAACCTTTTTTATTTTCTCCTAGTCCTAAGATAAGAGCCACTGTAACTGCTGTGTTTACAAATCCTAATGAAACCCAGCTTTATCTTCCCAGAGAGGAATGAGATAAGAAGAGCCCTAATTTGTGGGGCAAACGTTGTTAGGGGCCCTGGGTGGCACCCATTACTTGGGAACATCTAGGAGAAAGCCCAGAAAGATCTTGGAGAAATATCCTAAGAGCTTCAAGGCTTATGAGGAAAATGGAGCCTAATACTTCAGCTTCAGAGTTGTTGGCCCTTGGTGTGCTAGTAAATGTTTAACAACTAGAATATGAGGGGGTGAGTGGTGGGAAGGGGGCTGTTCTGTAGCGTTATGTGTGAATGCTTCCACCATGGCTGCCAACGTGAAGCCAAGTGGCTCTAACTATGCTTGAAAATTAAACACTCAACTCCACAGGCCAAATGTGCATTGGCCAGCTCCCTGGTGGCTGAGGAAGACTGGGAGAAGGGGCCTATAAAGCTGTGAGTTAAGGCTTTCTGAGCAGGAGGTGAGTATGCTTCACTTTCCCCAGGGGAGCCACCTATATAAAGTTCTCCCCCAGGCAATTGAGGCCTCTGAGTAGCCCATTCTGAGAGCCCCTGTGATGATTTCTCAGCCTAGAACAGGGTCTTAACTGCTATTCAAGACAGCCTTGGCAAAGACATATGCTGGAGAGCTGAGATTTCAGACTCCCACAGTAGCCATAATTCCATTTCCTGTACTTGGTATCCTGTTTTGCTATAACAGTGTACATTTTTACACTGCCTCTCTATAACCCTGAGTGATGGTTGTGGTGGTAACTCCTACTGAATGTGAGCATGTGACACAAGCTTTGGCTGTCTGACTATACCTTCCGTTGACTTTGTTTGGATTCTGGCATTTCACTTGACCTGTTTGATAGAAAAAAAAGTTTGATGTGAATTGTTTGTTTACTGGATTCACTAAAGCAGGAAAGACACAGAGTCAAGCAGAGGGATAATTTTTTTTAAAATATATTTTATTGTTTTTTTTACAGAGAGGAAGGGAGAGGGATAGAGAGTTAGAAACATCGATGAGAGAGAAACATCGATCAGCTGCCTCCTGCACACCCCCTAATGGGGATATGCCCGCAACCAAGGTACATGCCCTTGACCGGAATCGAACCTGGGACCCTTGAGTCCGCAGACCAACGCTCTATCCACTGAGCCAAACCGGTTAGGGCAAAGGGATAATTTTTTTAAACCTCACCCAAGAATATGTTTAATGATTTTTAGACAGAGAGGAAAGGAGAGAGAGAGAAAAACATCAGTCAGTTGCCTTCCATATGCTCCCCAAACTCACAGCCTAGGTATGTGCTCTGACCAGGAATCAAATCTGCAACCTTTTTGGTGTTTGGGACAAAGCTCCAACCAGCTGAGCCAGGGCAAGGCAGTTCCATTTTTAATTTTTGAGGTAAGTCCATACTGCTTTCCACAGTGGCTGCACCAACCTGCATTTCCACTAACAGTGCACGAGGGTTCCCTTTTCTCCACATCCTCACCAACACCTTTGTTTGTAGATTTATCTCATTGTTGTTTTAATTTGCATTTCTCTGATGATTAGTGACATTGAGCATCTTTTCATATTTCTATTGGCCATCTCTATGTTCTCTTTGGAGAAGTTTCTATTCAGGTCTTTTGCCCATTTTTTAATTGGGTTATTTGTATGTTTTGGTATTGAGTTGTATGAGTTCTTTATAAATTTTGGATATTAACCTCTTATCAGATGTATCAGCAAGTATGTTCTCCCGTTCAGTGGGTTGTCCTTTCATCTTTTTGATGGTTTTCTCTATTGTACAAAAATCTTTATCGTTTGATGTAGTCCCATTTGTTTGTTTTTTCTTTAGTTTCCCTAGATTGAGGCATGTTTGACAACCTCGATCTTGTCAGTTAATCTGAAGGAAGAGGCTAGCCAGGGATAGGAAAGTGGATGGAGAAACAGGAAGAGTGAAGATAATAGGGCTCATTCCTGAAGGTTGGGAAAGGTCCTGGTTTGGGAAGGACCCTTTCAGTTGAGGGAAAAAAGCACTGAACACAGAGGCCTGGAGAGTTTGCTGCCAGTTTAGGCAGAAATGCCTAAGTAGAGGCTCCTGGCACAGTATGATAACTTTATAATACAAGTGAGAGAAGAGTCTCCTATTCCATCTAAGCATATCAGGAAGGTCACTAATGAGAAATACAACTTTTCTACACACCAAAGGAGCATGGTGATTTTTTTAAGTTTTTATTTCTTTTAATAGATAATATACTTATGTGAGTCAGAATGTAAAATTTTACACACTGAATTTTTTTAAAATTTATTTTATTGATTTTTCACAGAGAGGAAGGGAGAGGAATAGAGAGTTAGAAACATCGATGAGAGAGAAACATCAATCAGCTGCCTCCTGCACACCACCTACTGGGGATGTGCCCGCAACCAAGGTACATGCCCTTGACCGGAATCGAACCTGGGACCTTTCAGTCAGCAGACCGACACTCTATCCACTGAGCCAAACCGGTCAGGGCCACAGTGAATTTTAATAGTTTTTAAAGTAGTAGTTTCATTTTGTTTTTTTAAAAAGGCAAAATGAAGACTCTCAATTAATGTCCCAGAGCCAAGCTAGATGAATCTGAGATCACTGGTGAAGAGCACAGCTTATTCTTCTTCTCTGCCACTGTCAGGATTTTCTCCAACTAAGTACGAATTTTGAAATGTCCATCGCATAAACTTCTGGTCTTCCTCAGTCAGGCTTCATTGCCAGTGAAGCATCATTGGCAGTGCATAGGAAGAATAGTGTTGGAGCTGTAGGAATTCCAGTAGTTGTCAGCTTTTCAAAAGGTCACAGGAGACAATAATCCTTGCTTTCTTAACCTAAGAAAGATCCTATACCCCAGTTATTAGATGAGAATATACGGGTAGGACTTCTTTCTTCCATTTGATTTTAGCCACCTCCTTCCTTCCAAATAGATCTTTGGGAACTTTTATTTTGTTTCCATCAAGACCTCTTCCCAAGGAGGTAGCTTATAACTGTATAAAATGTCCTCAGAAAAGCATGGTTTGCCACTGTGGTAACATCAGAGGCCAGAAGTGTTCCTATGCAAACTTTTATTTTAATATAAGTGTTAATTGAAAGTGTTTTTGCTAAGTACCATAATAGCACTTTTACCTTTCTCAGTGATCCTGCCCAAGGAAAAATGCAATTTTAAAAATAACCCAGTCAGCCAGAAGGGTAACTAGAGAGCCCACAGATGGGATTTCTAATAAGAACTGTCTGTTAGGGAGGGACAGATAAGTGAGGCTAGGTAGGGAGGCAGAGAGCCCATGTTGAATTTCCAGTGAATTAGGCACAGAGACTGTGTTTTCTGTCTTCCTTCCTAAGATGTGATGTTTCCAAGGAAAGAAACCTCAAATGGGGAGAACAAAGACATCTGCATCTTGGTTTGAGCTGGGCAGAGTGGTCCCACTGCAATAAACCATAGAGAAGGAGAAGGCCTGATGTGCTATTAGTGTATCATGTTCCCCACCCCCATTACCTTGGCTGCTTTTTAGTGTGATTGCATGCTTTGCTTGTGCAGGGTAAAGACCTGGGCATGTTGGATCTGTAATTAGTGCAAAGAAAAGCTTCACAAGGAGTGTCTAGGGCTTCAACTAAATAAAGTCAGAGAGGTGGGGCAACTGCCCAGGGAAATTAAAGAAAGTCACTGTCACCACTCCTTTAACCAACTGATGGTCTCTCGCTAATCACCCACTGTGAGGTTCATTATCTGGTCCACCTTGCTGAAGGGCAGAGCCAGTCGGTCAGATCAATAAATCTCAGGGCAGTAGAGATCCCTTGGTAGCAGGCTTGGAAGACATGGATAGACAGGGAGAACTGGCCGACTTACATTGGTTCTAAAATTGTGTTTTGTCCTGAAGTATATGAGATGAAAATAGAAAGGGGGAAAAAACTTCTATATTCTATATGCAGGGTGCCTGTATAGAGGAAATAGTTATCTTTTAAAAGGTATTATCTTTTTTAGCTTAAGAGATTTGTGTCCATTTTTAGGTCCTTATTTCCAAACATATATGTTGGATAATTGTGCCCTAGAGAGATATACAGGTTGTCCTGGACAGAAAGTCACTGTAAGCACCCAGAGAGGGATGCTCACTCAATGAAGTCTATGATTTTATTATCAGGTTGCTATCTCTTCTAATTCCTGTGCTATTGGCTTCTTTTCTTTTTTCAACTACTTTGAGCTAAAGTGTTCCGAAAAAGAATGAATTCTTGCCTTCCAAGAATATCTCAGATCCTGCTTTGATATGAGAATTATCTGTTTCTGGGTGTTCTTGGTTAGTGCAGTCAGACAAGGAATAATGGGTGCTCTAGCTTCAAGTTCCCCAGATTTTATTATTTCTTTTCTGTGCAAAAGTACAGAAATATCTGCTGTGTGCCAAGCCAGGGGTTATAAAAATACAAAAATCATACTTGCCCATCCTTGAGGACTTCTTGGTATAAGAATCAGGATCACTACTTTCTTGCTTAGACCTTTTCCTATGTGCTTCCCTGTAGACCTCCCTCAGTGATATATTTAGCATGCTTACAGTAGCCCCACCTGACTCTTTACAAGCCTAAGGAGGACAAATAAACCTCCCTGTTCTCCTTGTACCCTGGTGAAATACTGCCTCATTATAAATCCATAAAAGGTTGGCTAATGACCCTTGTTTGGAGTGAGTTTCCACATGGAGAGCCATATCTTTTATCCCTGCCTCAGTTTCATTAAAAAGGCAAAAGTAGAACCTTCATTAGTTATCCATGGCATAAGTCCCTAAGCTTGGCAAATGATTTTGTCAGAAAGTCCAGTTTAAGTGCACTCACTTAAAAAAGGCAACAACTCATGTGGCTAGTGCCCAGCTGAATATTATTTCAAACATTGTTGATTGCTACCCAGAGTCCATTTCATTTGTCAGGGAAGAATGCCAGTGGTGAAGTGGAGGGGAGGAGTACAATGAGGGGAATCCTTGACATTGTTGAAACACTGAGAACTCCTAGTTTAGAGTGACTGATATATCAGTCTGAATCATTCTTGCCCCAACCAGAAATGAAATGGTAAGACCAAAAAAAGACATAAACCTCCCCAGCTGGTGTGGGTCAGTGGTTGAGCATTGACATAAGAACCAGGAGGTATGGTTCGATTCCAGTTGGGGCATGTGCTGGGTTGCGGGCTCCATCCCCAGTGGGGGATGTGCAGGAGGCAACCAAGCCATGATTCTCTCTCATCATTGATGTTTCTATTTCTCTCTCCCTCTCCCTCTCCCTCTCCCTTTCTCTCTCTGAAATTAAAGAAAAAGAAAAGAAAAAAGACAAATTTACTGCCATGGCATTTTTTTTGACTAGTCATGATTTACTGGACTTATTTTTTTATTTAACTTTATTGAGGTATAATTAACATATAATCAAATATATTTATGTAACCACCACCACCACCACAAAAAAAAGCCTGTTAAGATTTTGATTGGAATTACATTAACTTTATAGATAACCTGGGGGAGAATTGACACTAATAATATTGTTTCATTATCATTATGAAATTTCACTTGTTGTTCCTGATAAATTCCTTGTTTTGAAGTCTCCTTTGTCATATATGAATGTAGTAAATCAACTTTCTTTCAATTAGTGTTTTATAACACATCATTTTATCTCTTTTTTACTTTCAACATATCTGTCTTTGTATTTTACATGGATTTCTTTTAGACAGCCCATAGTTGAGTTGTGATTTTATATCTAGTTTAACAATCTCTGCCTTTTAATTAGAGTGTTACATTTAATTTATCAATATGACTGAGTTAAAATCTGCCATCTTTTTTTTTTATTTCTCCCATCTGTTCTTTATTCTTTTTTGTTTTTCTGCCTTCTCTTGGATTGAGTATACTTTTTAGTACTCCATTTTATGTCCACTATTGGCTTTTTAGCTATACCTCTTCATTTTATTTATTTTTTTAGTGTTTGCTCTAGGGCTTATAATATGCATCTTTAAACTTACCGCAATATACCATCAAAATAATGTTCATGTAACATATATGACTTCATGTAACATACAATAACCTTGCAGTAGTTTATTTCCATTTGTCCCCCTCCTGTCCTTTGTACTAGTGTTGTCATACAATTTTCTTCAATGTTTGTTATAAATTTCACAGTACATTACTATTATTTTTTGCTTAAGAGTCAATTATCTTCTTTCCTCATTTTTAAATTTGGAAAAGTTCCTGATAGTGGCTATACAACCTTGATGGGAGAGGGCTTTGCCATGTGCCTGAAAATTTGCTTAGTCTCAGTCGCTGTTGGACTGAATTCCCAGCAGAATGAGAATTAGAGGACAACCAAGGAAAAGGATGTGACCTGACAGCAAGCTTGTGTTCATTACCTTCTTCTCAGTTTGATCTGACATCTTCAGTATAACCTATCAAGGGAGATTAGTTAAGGCTGCCATCAGCCCACTCTCAGTCCGGACAACATGTATGGCCTTCTCTGCTAGGCTGCCAAATGAGGATGGAAACCACGAGATAACAATAGAGAAACTTACTGAGACTTATTATAAAATAGGAAATAAACATGGAACATAGCAAGAAGATTGTAGTGGGAGGTAATGGAAAAGAGGCTATGGAATCAGAAACCTGGATTCAAAAAACCATCATTTACTAGTTATATGACCTTTATCTGTCTGAGCTTTGGTTTCTTTATCTGTAAAATAGTCATCGTTATTATCCATAATATTTTCTAATAATAGTATGAAGTTTAGAGATAATATATTCCCTGACTGATATGGCTCAGTTGGTTGAGATTTGTCCCATGCACCAAAAGGTCTCCTGTTGTATTCCTGGTCAGGGCACATGTCTATGGTGGCCTCAATCCCCAGTAGGGGGTGTGCGTGAGACAACCGTTCGACGTTTCTCTCACATGCATGTTTCTCTCTCCTCCTCTCACTTCCTCTCTAAAATCAATAAAAACATATTTTGAAAAGAGAGATAATATATAAAATAAACATAAAAATATAAGTGATAACATCTAGCAAATACAAAGGTGCCAAATGAATGCAGGCTATGGGAACAAAGAAGAAAAATGAAAAGAGAAAGTATTTGATGTATTCAAATAAGTTGAATCAGGTGGTTAAATGGTGGCCAGGAGCATATGGAATTAACACTAATATTTGAGGATAATGACATGGAAAAGGCAACCATACTTCTTTTTGGCAAAGTGTTAGCATAGGGATAAAATCATAGAAATAGTAATTTTGCAAGGAACCTTTGAAAGCACTTACCTAATTCATGGCCTTCACTTCACATGTGAAGAAACAGATGTCCAGAAAGATTGTAAACTACCCAAAGAAAAAAGCTGGAATTAGAAAACATGCAGGGTTCTTAATCCTCATCCACGATTCTTCCTGTACTGGCAGCCTAGTCTAACTTGGGGCACATTCCTGAGTTTACGGGCCAAACTTGGTCTCTTAGAGAACAAACTTTCAAGGAAATCAAATTCTCTTCTAGGAAATGGCAGGCATGATCTATGGAGAGCTGGGAAAGTAACCTGGTAAAGGCTGGTTTGATGTTTGAGCTTCAACGATTTCCAGGTCCTCAGAGCTCCAGGGATTCTCAGTTTCCACCAGTAGCAGGTGAAGACCCTGCTCAGCCCTGTCCTAGTTGGTAAAACCACCAGCAAAACTTTATAGACCACTCCAAATTCATTATCAGCAAAATCTGGTTTGGGTTGCTATTTTAATTACTTAATACCCATTTAGAGGCTTGAAATTCAGAGGTCTTTAATCTATTGGGCTTCTTTTTTAAAAAAATATATTTTATTGATTTTTTACAGAGAGGAAGGGAGAGGGATAGAGAGTTAGAAACATCGATGAGAGAGAAACATCGATCAGCTGCCTCCTGCACACCCCCTCCTGGGGATGTGCCCGCAACCAAGGTACATGCCCTTGACTGGAATCGAACCCGGGACCCCTCAGTCCGCAGGCCGACGCTTTATCCACTGAGCCAAACCAGTCAGGGCTCTATTGGGCTTCTTTAGCCACAGCTGTCAGGTGATCTCCAGGCTTGGGTGGATGGGTGTTAAAAGGATTCAGTGAATCCCTTCTACATGAATGCTCCTACCTCAGGGCCAACTTTCCATTCTCCAAAAGAGACTGTAACTTCTCTATTCCCATTTCCATGCTCTTCTGTTTTAAGCTAGCCAAATCCCTAATCATAGAAAAATTAATCTCTGGATGATTTAAAACAGACATAATAGTTTAAAGGAAGAAAGAAGATGAAGGCTTTTAAAGGATTTTTCATGATAATCCCACTGCCATGTGATCTAGTTCAGATATTGATTCACTAGTTAGAGAGTATGATATTTTGGCCCCATTTCTTCCACAAGGCAGGAAAGTACAGCTTGAGAGTTCAAGCTGTGAAACCACAAACAAGAGCACCACCAGGCGTAAGTCTAAACGTCGCCCTTGCTTCTCTCTCCCATCAATTAGAGGAAGCTCAGTGGTTACTGCTTATTCTGCAGACTGATGATGAAAAAAATAAAGATTTTGTTCCATAGAAAGTTGTTGGGAAGTGATGTTTGTCCCTTACAATTATTCCAGATTTGGGACAAACTTATCCATGTGCCCACAGAACCAAAGTCTGAATAATCAGTTTTGCTCTCCATACCATGCCTCTAAACCAGCGGTTCTCAACCTGTGGGTCGCGACCCCTTTGGCGGTCAAACGACCCTTTCACAGGGGTCGCCTAAGACCATCCTGCATATTAGATATTTACATTACGATTCATAACAGTAGCAACATTACAGTTATGAAGTAGCAACGAAAATAATTTTATGGTTGGGGGTCACCACAACATGAGGAACTGTATTAAAGGGTTGCGGCATTAGCATAATGTCCTATCTCTAAAAGAAATAGTGCTGACCACAGAGTAGTCCTTCAGTAATGGTCAGTGGCAAACGGGACTGCCAGAGAGGAGAAGATCCAAGTAGTTGCAGGCAGTTTTTATGGTAAAAGCAAAATAAGATCTCCTTGTCATCCATGGAGGAACAACGAAAGTCAAGCATACCTTTTCTCAGCCAGGAAGACCAAAACCTTTTTCTCGCCCTGACCGGTTTGGCTCAGTGGATAGAGCGTCGGCCTGTGGACTGAAGGGTCCCATGTTCGATTCTAGTCAAGGGCATGTACCTTGGTTGCGGGCACATCCCCAGTGGGGGGTGTGCAGGAGGCAGCTGATCGATGTTTCGCTCAGATGTTTCTAACTCTATCCTTCTCCCTTCCTCTCTGTAAAAAATCAATAAAATATATTTTAAAAAACAAACAAAACCCTTTTCTTTCTACTACCCGATAAACGTCTTCAAACTCAAAGGAAGATAACTTTTCCTGTAAAAATGAGAATGACCTACTCAGGGCATTGCCTCACTCCCTTCTCTGGATTAGTTATAGGGCTGAAATGCTCTATTATCTTGACAAGAAACTGAAGAGACATTGGAGCTCTGATCTTTCGTTTTCTCTGAAGGGAGCTAATATAGCCTCCCAAATTCCTTTACTTTGCAAAAACCAGACCTTCCCCAGAACTGATTATGGATCTCCCAATGAGGAACAACCCTCTTTTCTCCCAGAATCAATAAAGGTCTGTCCCTAACCTTGTAATTTCACCAGTCTAAGGACAGGCTCTCAGTGGCATTCTCACAACTAAGTTATTGGACAGCTTGGAATGGAAATTATGATGACAAAGAAGGAAAAAGCCAATTCTTCCTCCATAATCCATATTTATTCTTCCAAATTTAGGACTAGTTAAAAATAAACAAGAAGCACTGAAGCCCTGGTAGTGTGGCTCAGTTGGTTGAGCGTCGGGCCATGTACCGAAAGGTCGCCAGTTCAATTCCCTGTCAGAGCACATACCCAGGTTGCAGGTTCAATCCCTGGTTGGGGTGTATATGGAAGGCAACCAATCGATGTTTCTCCCTCTCCCTCCCCCCTTCTTTTCTCTCTCGAATCAGTGAAAGGCATATCCTTGGGTGACGATTAAATTAAAAAAGAAACACTACAAAGATGTTCTCCAAGTAAATACCGTGGGATCACCACTGGGTCTAGTTGTGCCTAGACTCTGAAAAAGAGTTTCAACCAATAGCTAGTAATTTTTAAGATAACATTGTTAAGGGTATAGCTTTAGATTCAGCCTTCCTGAACTCATATCCTAGCTCTACCACTTACTAGCAGAGTGGAGCTGGGTGAGACTCAGTTTTCTCATCTGTAAAATGGGATGATAATGTTTATCATATAGGGCCGATAGTGAGGATTAAAAAAGGAAATGCATATATAAGGTGCCAAGCATACTGCTTGATACACAAAAAGTGCCTAATAACCTTAGCTGTATTATTATCTCTTTCATTTTAATGACCATGAATAACTGCTTTCTAGGACTTGAAATTCCAACTCCTGCCATAAATGAGCAAATGCTCCCCTCCCTGACTTTCTGGAAGAGACCTGTCTTTTACAGGCTTACCAATGAGGGATATACTGTGGAGGAAAGAACACATGCTTTAAGGTTTAAACATCAGCAGCTGTAGACAGGCAGAGTGGCAGGCTCTCTCCTGGAGAAACAAACATGCTACTACTATTGATTTCCTCACTGAAATTGTGTCACAGCTTGATTCTCGGCACTCTGAAGGAAGAGACCCACTGTTACATTATAGATTTTTCATAGCACCTAACAGTCCTAAGAAACAGTAAACATTCAACATACTTGTAGACTAATTTAGTAACACTCAGGCCCAACCAAAAAGGAAAGGAATCTCTCATCAAGGTCACACAATAAGATTAGAGTTAGGCCATTACAGTACACCCAGCACTGTTCTCAGCACTCTGATAGTTTCTAAAGCCCTCAAAGCCATGTCCTGCCTTTAAGGAGCTAACAAGCAAAATGGGGAGTCAAGATAAACCACCATGAAGGGCATGCCCACAGATGTAAGCACATAATAGGGTTCAGCCGGTAACGCTAAGTGTGGATTGGAGTCAGCTGCAAAACTAACCAGTGACTAGGCAGCCAGGTTGAAGTCACGTCACACCTTTTAAGACAGGGAAAAGGACGGAATCCAAGGTCTCTTCTATTTTGTCTGCCACCTCCTCCACTTTACATTACTGTGTCAGCTAATTCTGAAGGCAAGATTCTCCATCAGCGAACAGGGCCCCTGAGACGTCAGCTGTAGGGACAGCCATTACCTCTGACAGGTCTGTGACTCTGGCACTGACAATTTAGGCTCCGCCTCAAAGGCAGATTGTTCAGACTCAGCTCTGATGCTGAAAATAAGTCCTACAAAAAGGATGAGCAGCCCTAGCCGGTTTGGTTCAGTGGATAGAGCATCGGCCTGCAGACTAAAGGGTCCCAGTTCGATTCTGGCCAAGGGCACATGCCTGGGTTGTGGGCTCGATCCCCCAACCCCAGAAGGGGGTGTGCAGGAGGCAGCCAATCAACGATTCTCTCTCATCATTGATGTTTCTATCTCTCTATCACTCTCGTTTCCTCTCTGAAATCAATGGGGGCGGGGGGGGAAGGATGAGCAAAAGGTCAAAAGGATGGGAAGTAATGTTACTTGACTCCCAAAATACACAATCCATAGTTTTAATTTCTTAGAAACCAGGTTTGATCCATTCTGAACTGCCCTTGTGAGATGTGTTCAAACTGAGAAGAAGGTAATGAACACAAGCTTGCTGTCAGGTCATATCGTTTTCCTTAGTTGTCCCCTAATTCTCATTCGGCTGGGAATTCAGTCCAACAGCAATTTGAGATTAAGCAATTTTTCAGGCACAGGACAAAGCCTCTCTGACTTCAAGGTTGGATAGCCATTGCCAGGAACTTTACCAACTTGACTGTTCTCCTTTGCTGCTGTCTTCAGGGTAGAAGTTATTTCCCATTTTGAAGGCTCTGTTTTAAAAAATGGGGCACAGGCTCTTGAATAGACTGTGAGGAATGTCTATTGTGTGTGCTAGGGGGAGGGTGTGGGTCTGTCTGACATTTAGTCAGCAATTTTGAACTAACTTCGTGCACTGGGACCTCTTTCCTTCCTGATCCTGATGTCACCACGAGCCTCAGAATCTGTTTGACTCAAGGCTGGCCTCTGTGGGTATTTCTGATCAGTTTTTCTTCAGTATAACTTGTATCCCTTTGCACTACCAAGATTGGTAAGGTTGACAGTGGTAGGTACTGGGTATTCTCTGACTTTTGACTGATACATTGCCAGTTAACTCAGGATAGTGTGGTCATTATGGGAATCCTGCTTTCTTATTGAACAGAGAGAGTAGATTTTCTCCTCACCAGAATCTGCCGTATCCTGAATGAA